TTTTTAGTTCATTATACTTTCTTGAGATAGTGAAATATACTGTAGTTAAGGAAACAAGGCCCCACTGTTTTAGATTAACAAATACATTAAGGTGGAGTTAAAGTTGAAAACATACACAGGAAGTTAACGTAAAACATATTACATGGGTGTTGTGATTATCCTCAAGTATTATAGTTTCAGGAAATTCAGAGTTAAGATTAACCTAAAAGAAATTCAAACATGTAAGATATGGAAACACACAATTAAGGCACTCAAGCAGCCTTTATTCTGCTATGTGATGCCATGCAATAACTATACAATTATGATTAATGCATATTAGTCTTTGTGGTCATATTAGTCTTTGTCTCAAATTAAATAAAACTGATTTTAAAAAACACATTTGACTTTTTTTCTTTTGCCCCAGATCCTGGGTATCACTACATGGCAAAGTTAAGATTGTTTGTGGGCTTTAACTTAATATTTACTTAACCTTAATGCCCCTAATTTGAAACTGCCAGAAGCTCAACTGCACTTCAGCATGATTCCGGTTGTAATAAAACTCAGAAAAGGAGCTATCTCTTGAAGGAGTTTTTTAGCTAACAATGCCCATGAAGCACTGAGGAAACACACAGGACCGAATTCTAAGATGAAGTATTCCAGGCTGGTAATTTCAGAGTATTTACTCTCACTTGCATGACCTCAGAATTTGGTACATAGTGGAAAGAGCATCCAGATAACATGGGATGGGTATATTTTAAAATTCCTAGACAGAGTTTTGTGATGCATTCTGCTTCGTATACTTTGCTCTAATGCCTCTAAAACCCTCAATGCAGAACTTAAGGAAGAATTGTCCTTTCTAATATTATTGACATTGTAGTTAAAATTCAGGAGGTACAAAATGACAAAATTGTTGAGGGTGCATCAGTTACACCATGCGGTAATATGTAAACAGGTACTATATATGCAAAAATTGATTAGAAATAAGTTCTTACATAGTACTGACAGTAATATCAACATGTTCTCTTGTGATAACGTTTAAGTCATCACTGTATATTTGTGAAATCTGGTAAACAATGTAATTACTACTTAACATTTTAGCTCTTTTACATGAAGGTAAAACATTAAGCATGACAATCTGAAAACCTTGCTTACACCTTATATGTAGAGTGACCATATTTCCCCATGCCAAATATGGAACACTAAGGCTATGTCTAGACTGCAAGCCTCTTTCGAAAGAGAGCGTCTAGACTGCACGGAGAAATTTCGAAAAAGCGGCTTGCTTTTTCGAAAGAAAGCATCCAGTGAGTCTGGATGCTCTCTTTTGAAGAAGCCCTATTTACATTGAAGAACGCCTTCTTTCGAAAGAGGAACTTTTGAAAGAAGGCGTTCTTCCTCGTAAATTGAGGTTTACCGCCATCGAAAGAAAAGCCGCGTTCTTTCGAATTAATTTCGAAAGAACGCGGCTTGAGTCTGGACTCAAGGCTACTTTTTTCGAAAAAACCCCTGAGTCTGGACACAGCCTAAGGGGGGTTGCCGGTGCTTAGGGCTTTAGCCTCAAAGGAGGGGCTCTGCTTGCACTTGGGGCTTCAGCCCTGGGTGGGGAACACAGCACTCGGGGCTTCAGCCCTGCAGCAGGTAGGGGGGCTCAGGGCTTCTGCCCTGTAGCAAGGGGGAAGGACTGAGGGCTTCAGCCCTGAAGAGGGGGGGGTGGGGTGGGAGAAGGGTAGTGGGCACTGGCACTCAGGGCTCCAGCCCCATGGGGGAAGGAAGAAGGGGAGCCGCCAGTGCTCGGGGCTCCAGCTCCCAAGTAGGGGAAAGCTGGAGGCACTCAGGGCTCTAGCCCCAGAGTGGGAAGGGGGAGAAACCACCGGTGCTCGGGGTTACTCAGGGTTCCAGCCCCTTAGTGGTTGGGGGAGGAACCGCCAGTGCTTGAGGCTCCAGCAGCTAAAGCTCCAAGTGCTGGCAACTCCTTGCCCACCTTGTCCCACTGCAGGAACGAAGTTCAGCCCCTCAGCATGCAAGGTGGGGAGGGAAGGGGAGCCGCCGGTGCTTGGGGCCCAGAGACTGAAACTCTGAGCGTTGGTGGCTCTTCCCTGCCTCTGCTGCAGGGGAAATATGGGACAATGTGCCCATGTTTTAAAAAAAGTTGGGACACCAGGAAAAGACCTTAAATATGGGACTGTCCTGGTAAAAATGGGACAGATGGTCACCCTCCTTATACAATATCTGAAAACTTAAAGCATCTCACTGACCTTGTCATTTTACTCCTGGGGGAATTCTGTGCCATTGCACATGAACTGAAATTCATGTGTCCCACAGGTTTCTTTGCTTCCCTGCAGAAAAATGACTTTCTGATGGGGAAGCAAAAGGAAGCTGCAAAAGTGGTCATATAGTGCTCCCCAACAGCATGGGTGCATTCATGCGTGGTGGATGAACCAAGGACTGGGGCAGGCAAGCATCCTGCCTTGCCTCTGCTGCCCAGGGCCATGTGGGATATAATTGTCCGTCCCCCCCCACTCTGAAAGGGCAGACCACCTCTTCTTCAGTTGGACAGTGTGCAGCCCCAGTCTTCTCCCCCCAGCCTGGAAGCACAGGGGTGTGTGTGGCCTTCCTCAACCCCAGGAGCACAAGGGGGAGAGTGTATAGCTCCAGCCTTTCTTGGCCCCAGTGGAGGCAAGCACTGCACAATCCCAGCCTGCTCCAGAGCATGGGGAGGGCAAGACCCCAACTCTGGAGGCTACTCAGCCACCCTGGCCCTACAGGATGTGTGGTGAGCAGTCCCGCGGAATCAGAGCATAGGTGGTGTGTAGCCCCAACTTCCGCAGCCTTGATGGGGCTAAAGCCCAGACAGCCCAAGAAGACTGTGGGAGATGAGCTGAAGGAGAGCAGGGACTGAGGGCACAGAACAGGCAGGGCCATGCTGGCAGTTTGGGAAGTCATTGCCTTCCCCTACCTCTTAGACTCACAGCCCATGGGTGCATTGTTTTGGGCATCCAGAGCAGCCAGCAGAGAGTTAAATTACTGTGCAGGGGACTGAGGACACCCAGCCTGGCCTAAATGCAGCTGTTAATCCCTGCAGGGCTCAGAAGAATGGAACTACCCCTGCAAGAAGCAGGCAAAGCTGGATCAGATGCACCCCCAAAAACCTCTCTGGTTGCAGTAAATTTTCCTTCCTGCTTCCCTTCTCCTCAGCTGCTCCCTCATCGTCCCAGTCCTCGTGAATCAAGACTCACCTCAAAACTCAGATTGTCCCACCAAGCTTCAATCCCTGCATCCCAGTTCTTCCACTGAGTCCCCAGAACCTGAACCCACATCCCAAGCCCCATCCTCTTCATCTGGAGGTTCCTTACACCCAGCCCCCTGATGAGGCCCCACATCCCTTCCTCTGGACCCCACTCCTGCATCAAGATTGATTCTCTGTACTTGAGCCCACCCCACTTGCACCTGGACCACCCTAATTGACCCCCTGCACCTAAGCCCCCACCTCACAGAGCCCCACTAAGCCAGCACCCAGACCTGCATCCCATTAAGGCAGCCCCCAGTCCCTCCTCCACTGAGACGTCCATGACCAGATCCCCCTGCTGAGTCCCAACTACCTTCACCTGGACCCCTCTTCAAAGTCCATTGCCTCTGCACCCAGCTCCCTCCCAATGAGCATTTGTTCATCCAGATGCCTCCCATACCTTGACACCCCCCAAAACTGCCCACACCCACATTATCCCACACAGAACCCCATCACTTCACACATTTGGACATCCCTACACTAAGCTCCACAACACTTGGATCCTGCTGGTCTGAGCCTGCCTGTCTATATCTGATGTGCTTGGCACAGAGTGGCAGGGCTCCAGGGAGTTTCTGGGATAGGTCTGGCCCTTGAGCTCTGTCAGGGTCATGTGCAGCCTCACCACTGAGTCCATGTCCTGGGGTGGAGGCTGCAGGTTGATCTCTCATCATTGTGCAGTCAGTCATCTGTGCTCCCCAATGCCTTGCTGGAGCTTCTACATTTTTTTTTAATTTGCAGAATTTTGGAAAATTTTAAAATATTGTGTGCATAATTTTTAATTTTTTGGCTCAGAATTTTTAAATTTTTGGAAGAGAATTCCCTCAGGAATATCATTTTGTTAGATACAGGTTATTATCCTTATGCTTGAGTTAGAATCAATCAAATTCTTGCAATGAAAATATAAATTCAAATTAAATTAACTTGAATTTGATGATCATGGAGACCATCTTTAGCTTTCAGAATGTTTACTGAATATCATTAAATATCATCACTTTTCATTAAAAATTAAAATAAAGCCTCTTCGGGAAATGAACCATCTTTAGCAGAAGGAACTTTTCTTGTTATGTTTTCCTCTTCAAGGTCCTACTTTGGAATATAGATGAAAAAAACTATAACATTGGCTTTTCTATGGATTTTTAAATGAAGCACAATGAATATATATCTTATCCATATATTTTCTCATTCTCACAACTCTCGGTATTGATCTCTATGACCATCAAATTTTATTTGGAATTCATATTGAGAGATTTATTTCATTCAGTTATACCCATTCTGCACTATTTTGTTTCAGTTCACGAAACATATACACTACTTTGATATCTTCAACAGGATTAACTATTTTTCGTGTTCTTTGAATGAAAGAATAATACAATACTGTTACAAACATTTTTACGCCTTTGGGTGCAAAAAAGTTCAAAATAGTTACAATTCTAACAAGCAATTACGTTCTATAGGAAAACCCTGCCACAGGCAAGTAGTACAACATCAACTATATAAAAACACCAATGTTTTTAATTCTAGTATATGTACCGTTTGACATATATCCTTCATAATGAATACATTAAGTATTATAAACAAAAGGCTAATTGAAGTGACATTCATATATATTTTATGGTTTACTTTCAGTAAGAAAATTGCATCACAAACAGCTCTTTTGAGACATTACATGTGAATTCTTTAATTGCAATCTGACCTTAAAACAAAGAAGAACCCTTACTCTTTAAAGCTGATCACTCACCTTCATGGGTTTTGAAAAATTCAGGCAAACTTATAATGAACATGATAATTATTGCTGTTAATAATTTCAGGAGATCTGCTTTTCTCATAGTCAAGCACATGTCATTGAAGAGCTCTCATCTAGCATACTGGTGGGAAGTTCCTTCCTGGTTTCATGTGGGTCTTATGCAAAACACTTACTATTCATTTCCTTTGACTAGCAAGACTTGCCTTTCCTTTCTTTCTTTCTGATGTTTTGTTACACCAGTTTCAGACAGCCAGTTTCTCTGGTCACTTACAGTAGCATAAATGAGGCGTAAGGTCAAAGAACACAATGAAAGTATTAGTGAGAGAATATAAGAATTAGTGAGTATAAGTGTGAAAAACTTGCCTAGAAACTAGGGCTGTCAAACTATTAACATTAATTGTGATTAATCATAGTTTTAATAATACTGTAAATCAATAGAATACCTTTTTAAAAATATTTTTGGATGTTTTCTACATTTTCAAATATATTGATTTCAGTTGCAACATAGAAGTATATCAAGTGTAGGTGCTCACTTTATATTATCATTTTATTACATATATTTGGATTAAAAAGATAAACAAAAATAGTATTTTTCAGTTTACTGCATGTGAGTACTACAGTCCAATCTCTTTATTGTGAAAGTGCAATTTACAAATATAGAATTATTTTGTTACTTAACTGCACTCCAAAAAAAACTAATGTAAAACTTCAGAGTCTACAAATCCTACTTTTTGTTCAGTCAAATAAAAGACAAACAAGTTTTTTTACATTTACAGGAGATAATGCTGCCCACTTTTTATTTACAGCATCCCCTGAAAGTAAGAACAGATGTTCACATGGCACTGGTGTAGCCAGTGTTACAAGACAGATATTCGAAATACTTCTATGTCCTTTCATCTTTCGACAAACATTCCAGAGGATATGCTTCTGAGCTGATGATTAGTTCTGTGCAATAACGATCCAAAGTGGTACGGACTGATGAACAGCTCATTTTCATCATCTGAGTCAGATGCCACCAACAGGTTGATTTTCTTTTTTGGGATTCAGGTTCTATAGTTTCCAAATTGGAGTGTTGTTCTTTTAAGACTTCGGATAGTAGGCCACACCTCATCCCTTAGAATTTGGATCTTCAGTTTCTTAAACCTTTGGGTTAAGCGCTGTAGTTATCTTTAGAAATCTCATATTGGTACTTTCTTTGCACTTTGTCAAATTGGTGCTGAAACTGGAAGGTTTCCTGCAACTGGAAGGTTCCAGAGGTGAAGGTAGGTCCAATCTCTCCACTGCTACTAGGAGGGCCCCAAACAGGAACACCTACTTGCTAGTCAGAGCCAATAGTGAATTAACACATCAGACTCATGCGGAGGGGCCCCAGACAATTTGACAAAAGGGTGCCCTTAGTGTCTGGGTGATCACCTGTGAACAGCTTCTTTTGTCCTTTAAGTCTAAGCATTTGGTGGTCTTAGGAACTGGTAAGGGTTTGACCAAGTAATTTTCTAGGGAAGAATGGAATGTAAAGACAAAGAATTCCCGCCTAAAAATAAGGCTATTTAAGATGCAAAGTTTTCAGTTTCTGTCTTTGGTTGGCATGTCACTCCCAAGAAAATGAACCAGAGACCTCAGGGGAAAAGATCTTCCCTGGTTTGGAGGCTTAACTGAAATAAGAACAGTTTTAGGGTAAGTTTGTACTGAGCTTTTAGTGTTAGGACTAGCTATGCATTTTCTGTTATTTTAAATCTGTAATCTACTTTGCTCTGCCTGTTTTCACTTGCAATCACTTAAATCCTACTGCTTGTAATTAATAAAGTCACTTTTATTTACTATTAAGCCCAGTGTAAATAATTGTAAACTGGGGAACCAATCAGTGTTTACATCTTCCTTTCATTGTTGAATAATTTATTTGGGGTCCTCATCTCATTTGGGGAGTGGTTTTCCTGGAAGCTGGGCCCAAAACTGCATTTTTCTCGGACCTGAAGAGTTTCAGCATCTGTATTGCTCTTTGGGGTGAGAGCCAGTGATCTCAGTTCTGTGACTTGGCTGGGGGAGACCTGGGGATCTGGCCCAACAGGACCGTTCTTCCTGAAAAGTAATAGATGTAACGGCATTGCGCAAGAGGGTTTTTCTTGTGCAAGAAGGGGCAGTGTAGACGCTCCTTCTTGCGCAAGAGCCTCTTCTGAAAAAAATGGTGGCTCATTAGGTATGCAAATGAGGCTTGGTGATATTCCACACTTAGCCTTATTTGCATATTACTTGTGCAAGAAGCTGCGAGTGTAGACATAGCCAAAGTGTAGCCATGGCATGAGCACTGGGAGAGAGCTCTCCCAACACTCTACATCCATGGTCCCCAACCCGGTGCCCACAGGCGCCATGGTGCCCGCTGGGCCCTTTACGTGCGCCCACGGAGCAATCTGGGCTGGCCCCGTCCCCGGGCATGTGGCAGGTGCCAGCCTTGGGCGCATGGCCGGCCCCGGCCCCGGCCCCAGGTGCGCCGCGCGTGCCCTTGCCGGCCCTGGCACTGGCCTTGGCCCTGCCCCCAGACCTGGGGCGTGCGGCACATGCTTGGACCCGCCCCCAGTCACGCGGGTGCGCCATGCGTGCCCTTGCCGGCCCTGGCCTTGGCCCCGCCCCCGGGTGCGCCGCATGTGCCCTTGCCGTCCCTGGCCTTGGCCCCGCCCCCGGGTGCGCCGCCCCTGCCTTTGCTGTCCCTGGCCTTGGCCCCACCCCTGGAAGCGCCGCACGTGCCCTTGCCGGCCGTGCACGCGCGGAACCTGAGCAGCCCCTCCCCAGGATCGCGGCACATGCCGCTGCCGGCCTCGGGCGTGCGGCGCATGCTTGGCCCCGCCCCCAGTCACGTGGCCTGTGAGTGGCCCCGCCCCCGTACGCGCAGCGTGTGAGCGGCCCCGTCCCCAGGTGCCCAGCAGCCCCAAAAGGTTGGGGACCACTGCGCTACATAAATCACGTCACACGAGTGAGGGGAATAGCTAACAGCACTGAAAGCAAAGCTCCCGGTGCTGTAGCCTGGTTCACGCTAGCATTTTACAGTGTTGTAACTTTCTGTGCTTGGGGGAAGGGATGTTTTTTCATACCCTTGAGCCAGAAAGTTACAATGCTGTGAAATGCCAGTGTAGATAGAGTTTGCTTAAGTCTACACTGGCACTTTCCAGTACAGTAACTTTCAGGCTCACGACTGGGAAATCCTTCTCCCACACCCGAGTGCAGCAAATTACAGCACAGTAACCATTTCAGATTGTCACCATATACCATTTCAGGCCACAACCTCCTCTGTGGTTCTACCACACACAGAACCATCAGGATGGTTCCCAGAGGAGGAACAGGAGCAGCTGAAAGAGGCTGCACCTATCCTCAGACCAGGACTCTTGCCAATCCAAACCTTCAGTGAGGAGTAGGGAGGGTTGCATAGGAGGTGAGGGTCCTGGAGACAGTCAGGGGGTTGATAAGAGGCAGGGATTCCAGGGAGGAGTCAAGCAGCAGGAAGGAAGGGGGTTGGCTAGTGGGTTGGGGCTGGGCCATGCATGGCTGTTTAGACAGGCACTGACTACCCAGCCCTCCATACAATTTCCCTGCTAAAAAGTGGCCGTCAGGACAAAAAGTTTGCCCATTCCTAGTTTAAGCCCTAATAAGTGAAAGGTTAAATATCTCTACATAAATAAGAAGCTCCTGATCTATCATTTTTGTTTTTATTTTTGTACTTTTTATCATGGGCCCTCTTATTTGTCTTCTTTCTAATGCAAACAACCCCAATCTTTTCAATTTCTACCTTTATCAAAGTTTTCCCATTCTCTTAGGGTATGTCTACACTACCCCGCTAGTTCGAACTAGCGGGGTAGTGTAGACATACCCTTAGTGCAAATGAAGCCCGGGATTTGAATTTCCCGGGCTTCATTTGCATAAGCGGGGCGCTGCCATTTTTAAAACCCCGCTGGTTCGAACCCCGTGCAGCGCGGCTACACGGGGCAC